ATGTTTCGCAGATTTGTTGAGCGAGATTTGTTATTGAACATTTGTATTTGAACATTTGCTGGTAGAGTTTTGTGTTGGACGTTTCGCATTTGAAGAAATGTTGAGCTAGCTTCGCACTTGTAGATTTGTATTTGAGGATATTTTTGGCAAAGATTCTATTACTTCAATAATTGGAAAATCGAATGTTTATCAAAGAATGTTCATTTTCGGTACAAATTAAGATTTTTGTATACAAATGTCAATTTTCAATAACAAACGTTGAATTAAGAGATAAGAATTTAGAATTAAGAATTAAAAAAAAGCAATGAAGAAATTGAATAAAAAGCCATTCCGCCTTCCATAAACAAATGGTATTAGCCTACGTCCATTCTAATCCTATAGAGACTTAATAGTCTTCTCAAATACTCGAGTAAAACATCTTAAACTTACTCTGCTCCGGAAGCTTGGAATATATCAGCCCACTGAGCGGGGTTATAAAACTCAGCTGTAAACTGAGATGCGAAATCGGGATAGGTAAAGTCTGGTCTGTAGTTATTTTTCATAAAGTTAACTATTTCTGGATTTTTGTCATGTTTCCATCTGTACCAAAACCATTCATTAGTTATACTTGGTACTGAATATATTCCCCAGTTAATAAATATACCAAATTTAGCTTCGTCATACCACTGTGGTAAAGGTCTGGAGTCAATAGATTCCCATGTTGGATCATACCTGACTCCTACCACAATATGTTGTATTACCAGCACACACAGACAACTCCAAAGAAACGCCATGATCATAACCTTGTAAGATTAATGTAGACAGGACCTAACAAAAATAAATCGGGGTATAATAATCAAAATAATCATTTTAAAAGTTAAATGAAAATGTCAGAAAATATATTGTTAATAATTGACAAACACGACTTACCTGGCAATTCTTCTGAATAAAAGTGATAAGAATTAAGCGATACGTTATTATGTGTAGTGTCATAAAGCAAAGACAAATTTGACCTTGAACTGATAAGATCTGAAACTAGCAGACGTCTCAGAAGAGTTAGATCGATTTTATGTCAGTTTGATTTAATATTTATACCATCAAATTTTCATCAAATGAAGGTTAAATTGTATTTGGGTGTAATGTAATGTTGAAAGTTAGGTCGTTGGTGACAAATAAGGTGTTGTACGACATTGGACACAATTGGACCTTTTCCTGAATTTACCTCCTATCCTTATTCCTTTTATATTGTGTGACTTTCTGTATCATCTGATTGAAAGCCTGTATCTTATTAGGCCTATATATTGTTTCTTTTTTTTATAATTATATATGTTCTGTATGTTTGCCCATCTGGAACTGATAAATCATGTGTTATAATGTAATGTACACATGACGTTGGATATCAATAATGTAGAGTAGCTCAAATTGAGATCTATACCAATGGA